AAAGGCTTCCAGTGACACGAAATATTCTGTTAATCCCAATTTCTGTAGAAAAACTGTTTGTGACAGTATTATTCACTTTTTTGCATAATCTGTATGAAATACTTTCTGTTTTACAATGCATTGTTATTCAATGCAAAAGGGAAAACTGAGATTTATTTCGATTTTTTTTGAGTCTTTCTGATATTTGACTGATTCGATCTTTTCACTGTAAAAGGTCCATATTTCCCTTCAGAATTCAGTCTACCGTCACAAACTGCTTTCTTCCTCACCAAATTCGTTTCCACAATTTCTTCTCCCCATTTCATAGTCTCGATAAGTTATAATAGCTAAAAGAGTCTATCCATCACTGAAGCAACCGAATTTGGGTCTAAATCTTTACTAATCATTTACCGTCGTTACTCATCAAAAGAAACATACAATAAAGTGAACTAATTACTCGGGAAAGATTGCATCCTTTAGCAAACAGATTTATTACACATCCAAAATGATTGGATCCATTCTCTCAAACTTCTAAGAATTCGAAATCCATTTATGATAGTGAAAAAATTTGACAAATTCGTAAGATTATTCGAATCATTGAATAAATTTTAATTTACAGCTACTGATAGCAATGCACTTCGAATATTTCGCTATCCTTACGTTCGTCGTAATATCATCCAACATTGTATCAGCGACAGGTACACTTTTTGAATTTTCAGAATTTTAAATTTAACTGAATTATTTTGAAGTAGTACGCTGTGGATATTAGGAAATTTAAATGAATTTATACTTCCTGTTCAAATATATAAAGAACAACAACTTTAATGATGAATTAGATGAAATTTAAGGAGGAACAAATGAGGAAGGATCCAGCGCTCACGAAAAAAAAAACACTGAATTTAAATTTCGGCGTCCTAACGATAAACTAGTAGACAGTATTTTTGGACAAGTGGGAAATCGAATTGCTAGTTGCCTACCTACCGGTGATTTAAAAAATATGACGTGAGCATTTTTCTTTCACTTATGTATTACCACACTACATATATTCCCTAAGATGGAAAAATCATATCCGCCAAATTTTATGATTCCAATTACTAATAACTGTAGGAGATAAGGGAAATTGAAATGAGTTAATTTGTTATAATGAATTGATTGATAGTAATAATAATTGATTATTCTTTCATACCACATTACAGGGAAATCTCCGAGATGTCTGAATGTGCAAACTATGAGTTGAACCGTCGATATAAAGTATTACATTACCGGGACGGTAAAATAACACCGCCATATTTGAAGAAGGCTTTGGAACTCATATCTAAGACGAATTTCACCGATACTAAAGCTTGTTTCATTCTTTGTTTCTGTCAAGAATAATAATTTACTAAAAATCGGAAAGAACTTATTAGAGACGAAGATTTAATGACACAATGATGCAAATTCAAAATGATGCAAATTCAAACTTTAGCACCGAGAATCCTTCGCAACGAATCATTGGATACCAGGTCAAGCGATTTTGTTTGGTAGAGAAAAACCGATCAATGCTATAGCCAGTGTACACTTTCCTTTCTTAGTTTCGATATTCACATCTCACAAGGATCACCTAGAAATTATCGACAAAACATCCATATCTTGTTAGATATTTATAATGGATTTTTCATTATAATCTTATTGTAATTATTCAATGAATGGCATTAAACCATTATTAAACAAACGAATAGTTCTAATCATGT